CCCCAAAACCCCAAAACCCCAAAACCCCAAAACCCCAAAATATTATAAACTTATTGAAATGTCAGTCTATAGTGGCTTTGGAACAAGAAGTAACGAGACTACCTATAACACCCTACTTTTCAAGCTGGTGTATATCTTGCAACAGAGGGTGAGGCTATTCTCGGACGGAACGATATCGTGCACTCCTCATCAAGAGATCATCAAACAAAATGGTGTCATGGTGCAGGATAACTTTAAGAACACATTTTCAAAATTATTCACAAAGCTTAAAATTATGGAGGATATGAAATACGCTCCACCTAAATTCTCAGTTGGCATGAGCGAACTAGCACAGTTTTACGAGATTTTTGAAGAAACCTAAAAATAGCATCAACAGGTAATTTATATTAGGAACTTATTAATATGACCTAGCATGACTTCTTCGGTCAATAATGAGAGTAAACGGAAAAGTAGAGAGAACAGCAAAACTTCTCTAAGCTCAAGGAAGACATATATTTCTCCAAGGAATCAGGGCATCCAGAAGAAGAGTGGTAAAAAGACTCCATTTAAACCCATACCGAATATAAATAAGCCTCATAAAGGAAATAATAAGCAGAAGATGCATAATGTGGAGAATAGGAGGTACCAAGACTCTTCAAGCGGATTAAGCCCAAAAGAGACAGCCTGTTTTATGGATAACTCACATGTCAAGACCCCTGCTAAGGAGGGTTCTAGCTTCTCAACCATATCTGGTGATACGGCTGCAAAGAGACAATCGTGGGAGAAAGGAACTGGGTTAGTACAGAACTCTCAAAAACTACCTCCTTGACAAGTTTCTAAGATAACGTTCAACAATGGCATTATGATTAATATCAACAACAAACAGAAAGGTAAGGAAGACCTCAACCAGATCGACCGGATAATGGACAACATCCAGAACATCTCTATTGAAGATATCCGTTATCAAAAGCCTAAGAGATCTAAAAAGGATACTGGGAAATTTCCAAAGCAAAAGACTCATAGAGGAATACTGTTTGATACAAGCAGTTGCACCAGGTAAGGCTCTAGAGCTTTAGATTCATAAATGTGTAATAGAGAAAGCTAAATTTAGATATAGTTATCCTGAGAAAGACTCGCCTAAAAACGTCACATTCGCAAGAAATTTAGAGAAGAGCAGAATGAATCAGAGAGCTAAGCAGAAGTATAACGTTACATCTTCTCTTGATATGGTCCAGATAGCAGATAATGATGGGATAGAATTTAGGAACCCTACCTCAAAATTATCAGATAGTATATTGTAGAATAACATTTCAGGCAGGAAAATAAGATACAGCTCCAAAGCTGTTGATGAGCCAAAGCTTCCAAGACATTTAAATTCATCAGTTGGGTCAAAGTATTCCTCAAAGGCTAAAAGCAGGGGTTTAAATGCCTCAATGCAGAACGTGGAGGACAACCACATCACTATACAGATAGATGCAGAAGATATCCAGGGCGGCACTCTATTCACTGATAGTTATGAAAGGAGCTCAAAAGCCGTTAATGGGTCAAGGCATTTAAACCAATTGCCCAAGATTAGATCCTCAATTGATAATGAGGCTCAAAATACTATCATAGCAAGCAGTGTTCCAATGGTCGACCATGATTGTCTTTACGATTTAGGGAATTCTAGCAGGAAAGTAAAAGATTTCTTCTTAAATTTATAGTCTAAAAAGAGGTCTCAGCATCTTGAAAAGATGTGCAATATAAGCAGAATATCCTCGACAGACAAGAACTACCTTTCAATGCCTTCTCAAGGGATTATTGATGAACAATGAGAGCATAGCTTTGAGGAAAATTCCAGAATAATCAACCCAAAGTCCAAATAAGGGAGAGCTTAGGTACAAAGTTCCAAACAAATCTCTCGAATCGAATAGACTGAGCAGGAACGAGACTCGGGTTTCAAAGAAAGCAAGACGGGAGAAGAAAGAACAGACTTCTCAGAATGTTGTAAAAGATCTATTGAAGTTATCCAGCTCGAAGGTGTATGACCAGTCGCAACGAAAATCTCTTGAACGCAAAAATAATGCACAAGTGTTGAAAAAGTATTTCGTGAACAAGACTAATAAGTAATAACTTTCAATAATTTGTGTAAATTTAGGGGTTTTGGGGTTTTGGGGTTTTGGGGTTTTGGGG